CTGATATGTCATTTGCAACTATCTTTTCCCATTCCGTTGGTTGCCTATTAATTTTCTGGGTTGTTTCCTTGGCTGTGCAGAAGCTTTTAATCTTGATGAGGTCCCAACAGTTTATTTTTGCTCTTGATTCCCTTGCTTTTGGGGATGTGTCAAGTAAGAAGTTGCTGCGGTGGAGGTCAATAAATCCAGACATTATTCTTAATGTAGTAATGTATGCATATGTACATATGTGTGTATGAGATCATAGAGTGTGATAACTAATGCTCTTATCTGGCAATAAGTAGTAATTAGGTTGTTTTTACATGTATAATTATCTCCTTAGTTTATATATCTTACGGCAGTTCTCTCTTGCAAAGGATTATTTTCCAAAGTTAGCAGTCCACCTTTTCAAAGAGTTCACACAATTCTGCCAAGGGTATTTGTGTGTGCGTGTGTGCGCGCACGCCCATGTGCATGTGCACGTGGATAGGTGTATACTAGAAATGATCCCTGGGTTACAGACTGCCAGCTTCTCATTGTACCTTCACATGGCAGAGAGCAGAGCAGAAGAAGCAAGCTCTTTCATGACTCTTCCTATAAAGGCACCAATCCCATTCATGAAGGCTCTGTGCTTATGACCTCATCGAATCCCAGATACCTCCTCAGGTCCCCACTTCTTAATATTATCACTTCAAGGAGTAGGATTTCAATATATGAATTGTGGGGTGGGGGAGGGCACAAACACTTAGCCCATAACACTATCCACTACCACTGATCCACGCAGGAATGAATGATGGAAGTTGGCAAAAACTTGGAATGTATCTGTAATGGTTTTTAAAACTGAATGTGGAAGTGAATAGTCTTAGGGGCTGTTTCTCAGATTGCCCTTAAATAAAAATGCATTACTTTGAAGGACAAAGTATCTATAGCATGATCATGGCCTTTACAGTAAGAAATTTTTAAACGGAAGCTGTGAAGGATACCAGGTGAGACACAAACCAAAACCGTAGTGGAAGGAAGAGTCACAGTAACTTCAGAAGAAATGATAAGAAGGAGGATACTTTTAAATATCTGTGCTTTCACATACGTACAAAGTAATCATAGAGCAGGAGTGATCTGTTCTTGAGAGGTCACATTTGGTCACATGCCTTCTAGAGACCAACAAGGTTTGGTTAGGTGGGCTTGGTGAATGGTGCATTATTTTCATTACATTCTGAGAATTATCTGAGCATGGCTTGTTTCTTGGGGTTTTTTTTCAGTTTATTTATTTTGAGAGAGAGAGAGCGAGCACAAGTGGAGAAGGGGCAGAGAGAGAGGGCGAGAGAGAGAGATCTGGACATGGTTTAAGATTTAGATTCTTTCTACTGATATTGGTGAATTTCCTACTAATTTGTACATGGTCACTTTTCTTTTTAGGGACGTGACTTTAAAAGATCTAATAAATGAGGGGTGGCTCAGTTACGTGTCTGCCTGTGGCTCAGTTCGTGATCTCCCGGTTCCTAAGTTCGAGCCCTGCATGCAGTTCTGTGTGGACAGCTCAGAGCATGGAGCCTGTTTCAGATTCTGTGTCTCCCTCTCTCTGCCCCTCCCATACTCACGCTCTGTCTCTGTCTCTGTCTCTCTTTCTCTCCTCAAAATAAACATTAAAACATTTTAAAAATAAATAAAAATAAAAAAGTAAAAGATCTAATAAATGATAATGCTAGCAAACTGACAGAATCATATTCTGTGTGAACTAAAAATACCGTGTCTTGATAGCTCTGGCAATTTAGTTTTCTAAGCATATGATTAGACATATTATAAAATGCAGAGTTAAAAAAAAAAACAGAAAGCATAGCTCTTTTTTTAAAATTTTTATTTATTTTTGAGAGAGACAGAGGCAGAGCATGAGTGGGGGAGGGACAGAGAGAGGAGACACAGAATTTGAAGCAGGCTCTGAGCTGTCAGCACAGACCCCAACGTGGGGTTTAAACTCATAAACCATGAGATTGTGACTTGAGCTGAAATCAGACGCTTAACTACTGAGCCACCCAGGTGCCCCAACCATGGGTCTTGATTGACCTCTATTCAGAACGCTCCTGGGCCATTTCAGTGACTAAGTGTTCAAGAAAGACTGGGTCACCTGAATGGTGTTTGTAAGGAAAATACAAAATTAAATAACTAGTACTAGAAGCGTACTTTGACAATCTGTCTTTAGAATGTCTGCATGTGCCTTGAGTGGAAAATATTTCAAACAAAATTAAAAATCTAAACTTCTTCTAGTCCTAAATCTTTCTCTTATGATGGCTTAAAAATTGTGATTTACTCTAAATATATACAATGAAATATTCTGAATATGCAACTAATTAGACCTTTAAAATAAATTGTTTTATTTCCTATTATAAGAAGCTAATTGCTCTTTAGCTTGTTGGCAGATGAACTGAACAGAGAAACATAAAACAAAATAAACACAATGTTAAATAACATGGTCAATAAACACATTATAATATGCCTTTCTTTCCAAGCTGTGGTATCTGCTAATTTAATTACTTCCACAGCCTTAGAATAAAGGCAGCCATAAATAGAGTGTTTTCATTAAGTTTAATTAGTGTCCCTAGAAGGTGGATGATAAAGGTTATAGGATAGAGACATGGCCTCTGTGAGATGGTGCTTTATGAGAAGTTCCCAAGATCCCACAAGTGAAGATTAACAGCAACATAAGATATTATTAAGGATTTATTTTTCTTATTTCTTTATGTTTCATTATCTCTTGTTTGCTTTTTAAAGGAGGAAGAAGAGGGAAGAGACGTTGAAGAAGACACTATTGTGAATCTTGGAAGAGACGGTGCCACAAACCAAATAAGGAGAAAGGAACCCCGAATTCCTACGACAACAAACTACAATCGTGTAGGGACTAAGTACAATGAGGCCAAGACCAACCGGTCCCCAACACGAGGAGGCGACTTCTCTGGGAAGGGTGATATTCCCAACACATCTTTAGATTCCACTTCCCAACCAGTCACTGAATTAGCCCCCCCAAAACATTTTTCTTTGACTTCACAGACTGTAACTAAAATGCCACCTCACACCCTGGAAGGCACTTCAGCCTCTTTAAGTGACAGCTCTAAAACTATTCTCAGATTTCGGCAGATGAACTTGACCCGGACTGTAGAATCTTCAAATACAGTTTCTATAACGGAGTCTCAAGAGGTATCTACTGATATCAGCGAGGAAGAGAATTTATTGACAAGTTTCAAGCTCGATACGGGAGCTGACGATTCTTCAGGCTCCAGTCCAGCAACTTCTGCTATGCCCCTCATCTCTGAGAACACATCCCGTGGGTTTGTGTTTTCTTCAGAAAACCCAGAGACAATCACATACGATGTCCTTCTACCAGAATCTGCAAGAAATGCTTCAGAAGATTCAGCCTCATCAGGTTCGGAAGAATCTCTAAAGGATCCTTCCATTGATGGAAATGTGTGGTTTGCTAGCACTCCCCATGTGATAGCACAGCCCGATGCTGGATCAGGTAGAGAGAGCTTCCTTCAGACTAATTACTCCGAGATGCATATTGATGAAGCTGAGAAGACAGCTGAGTCCTCATCTCCAGGCCCACTGGTATCACAGGCTCCCCCAGTCACAGATATGGGGATGCCACCTTATTCTACCTTTGCCTACTTCCCGACTGAGGTAACACCTCATGCTTTTACTCCATCCTCCGGACAACAGGATTCGGTCCCCACTGTCAACGTGGTATACTCGCAGACAACTCAACCAGTATACAATGGTGAGACACCTCTTCAAACTTTCTACAGTAGTGAAGTCTTTCCTCTAGTCACCCCTTTGTTGCTTGACAATCAGATCCTCAACACTACCCCTGCTGCTTCAAGTAGTGATTCGGCCTTGCATGCTACGCCTGTATTTCCCGGTGTCGATGTGTCATTTGAATCCATCTTGTCTTCCTATGATGGTGCACCTTTGCTTCCATTTTCCTCTGCTTCCTTCAGTAGTGAATTGTTTCACCATCTGTATACAGTTTCTCAAATCCTTCCACAAGTTACTTCAGCTGTTGAGAGTGATAAGCTGTCCCTGCATGCTTCTCTGCCAGTGGCTGGGGGTGATGTGCTGTTAGAGCCCAGCCTTGCTCAGTATTCTGATGTGATGTCGCATCAGACCACTACGCGTGCTGCTTCAGAGACACTGGGATTTGGTGGTAGTGAATCTGGTGTCCTTTATAAAACGCTTATGTTTTCTCAAGTTGAACCGCCCAGCAGTGATGCCATGATGCATGCACGTTCTTCAGGGCTTGAACCTTCCTATGCCTTATCTAATAATGAGGGCTCCCAACACTTCTTCACTGTTCCTTACAGTTCCGCAATACCTGTGCATGGTTCTGTTGGTGTATCGCATCAGCCTTCCTTATTTAGCAGCCCTAGCCACATTCCGGTGCCTAAGTCTTCGTTCATAACCCCAACGGCGTCATTGCTGCTGCCGCCTCATGGCCTCTCTGGGGATGGGGAGTGGTCTGGAGCCTCCTCTGATAGTGAATTTCCTTTACCTGACACAGATGGTCTGACAGCCCTTAACATGTCTTCACCTGTTTCTATAGCTGAATTTACATATGCAACATCTGTGTTTGGTGATGATAATAAACCGCTTTCTAAAAGTGACATAATCTATGGAAATGAGACTGAACTGCAGATTTCCTCTTTCAGTGAGATGGTTTACCATTCTGAAAGCACAGTCATGCCCGGCCTGTATGATGATATAAATAAGTCGAGCACGTCTTTACAAGAATCCCCCGTTTCCTTTTCTAGCACAAAGGGCATACTTCCAGGGTCTCTTGCTCAGATCGCCACTAAGGTTTTTGATCAGGAGATTAGTCAAGAGCCAGAGAATAACTTTTCAGTTCAGCCCGTACATTCTGTATCTCAAGCATTTGGTGACACTTCGCTTAAACCCATGCTTAGTGCCAGCTCAGAGCCAGCCTCCTCTGACCCCGCTTCTAGTGAAATGTTACCTCCTTCGACTCAGCTCTTATTTTATGAGCCCTCCGCTTCTTTTAATACTGAAGTATTGCTGCAACCTTCCTTTCAGGCTTCTGATGTTGACACATTGCTTAAAACTGCTCTTCCACCTGTGCCTAGTGATCCACTATTGGTTGAAACCCCCAAGGTTGAGCAAATTAGTTCTACGGTATTGCATCTCATGGCCTCAAATTCTGCTTCAAGGGAAAACATGCTGCACTCTCCATCTGTACCAGTTGTTGATGTATCGCCTACTTCTAATGTGCATGCTGCTTCACCTCAAGGTTTAACCATTTCTTACGCGAGTGACAAATATTCTGAACCAGTTTTGCTTAAAAGCGAAAGTGCCCAGCGAGTGGTGCCTTCATTGTACAGTAATGACGAGTTGTTCCAAACTACCAATTTGGAGATTAGCCACACCTTTCCCCCGAAAGGAAGGCATGCATTTGCTACTCCTGTTTTATCGATCGATGTTCCAAATACACTTACCGATAAGCTTCTATATTCTGATGAAGTTTACACCTCCACCAAGGGGTCTCTCACTGACGCGGTATTTGCTGCTATTCCAGCAGTTTCTGACACACTTGTAACTGCTGATCAGTCTGTTCCTCTAGGAAATGTGTATGTTTCCGTTACAGCTGTTTCTCCCAACAAAGATGGTTCAGTAGCCAAAACCAAGTTGCTGTTTCCTTCCAAAACAACTTCCACGCTCATTCAAAGTGCCAGATCTGATGGTGATTTAGTGGGTGGTGGTGATGATGGTGATCTTGATGATTATGATGATGAGTATGATGACAGAGATCGAGATGGCTTATCCATAAATAAGTGTATGGCATGCTCCTCCTATAGAGAATCTGAGGAAAAGGTAATGAATGATTCAGACACCCAAGACAGCAATCTTGTGGATCAGACTAATCCAACCTCATATTCACTCTCTGAAAACTCTGAAGAAGAAAATAAAGTCACAGGTGTAATACCAGACAGTCAGACCGATATGGACGGAAGTCCTGGTAAATCACCACCAACAAATGAGCTACCCCCAAACCCCAGTGGCGGAAAACAGGAAAATGACATTCAGACTGGCAATGCCCTGCTTCCTTTCACCCCAGAATCTGAAGCATGGGTACTTGTTGCAGGGGATGAAGAGAGTGGATCAGGGCAAGCTGTCTCAGATAACCTTAATGATAACGAGACTTCCACAGATTTCAGTTTTCCAGACGTTAATGAAAGAGATGTTGATGGGGTCCTGGAAGCAGACGACTCAGAAATACCTCCTGGACCCCCACAGTCCTCAACCCCGACTATCACTAGCAGGCACTCAGAAGTGTTCAACATCTCAGAGGCAGGTTAGTTATGGATCCAAGAGATAGACTGAGGTGTGGTGGTTTCCTTCCTCAAAAAATAGAAAAATCGTGAAAAGAGAAATTCGGTAAAGTGGCACATCATTCTATTTCTTAAGACATTCAACAAATCCATTTACAGTTTTTAAAGTATGATTTTACTCATTATTTCAAATGAATATTTGACATATTTTGGTTAGTGGATGGATACAGTGGTTTTTATTTATTGTCAACTTTTCATATTCTACGAGATGCCAGTTACACGCGGGAGCACTGAAATGTGCATAATGCGTTTTTAGTATACTGCCTTTTAGATGATAGATTGGAGTGTGCTGTTTTTAGACAGTTTTAATTTCTATATTCACTTATGTTCTAAAATAACTTGTAAACTAATTTCATTGCATTATAAAATGAATTATTAAACTCTGATCGTAATATGATGTAAACACCTCTCTGACCCACCCGATGGAAAATTTGTGGTCATTTTCACATCCACATCTGCCTGCGGAACTTTAAAAAAAGTTCTGTTTCTGAGTTTTGAGAGTTAATGGTAAGATGTTCTTTACAGATGGCTTTGATTTTTAAAAATTGTCTTTGTTTGATTACCGTAATGTTGCCTAAAGAGGGCAGTGTGAACTAACAAGATGCATTCTACTTTGTACTTGCGGTTATACAGCCCTTTCTAAGAAGTTAAATAATGGTCATTAATATGCATAGTATGTATAGGTATTGTATGACAAGATGTAAAACAATAGACCATTTTCTGTAGAAACGCATTTCATTTGTTAATGTATTTTATGCAAATTAGTTGATTGGCCAGATGTTTCTTAGAGCAGATTACTTGCAACATATATAATACAGATGTTTACCTTAAATGCCAGTGGGGAGAAAAAGGGAAATTCAATACCAGTAAGCATATGAAATACTAGGTAATTAATTGACTTGATCATAAGAATTTTGTAATTTGCTTTCATTAAACTTTAAGGCATTTTTTAAATTAACAACAAAAACATTTAAATCTTAATGTAGTGAGTCAACAGATAGATCAAGGTAGCATCTTGCAATCTTCCTGCATAAAAGTGGATATTTATAAGCCAGAGCATAGATACCAGTCTCATTAGGATATTTTTTTTCTCTTTGTCATTTCCATCTCTTGAATTAGTTGTATATTTTTCCTTCAGTGCAGCAGCAATTAAAGGTTTGTGCATTTTGATAGAGAAGTTTTTCTACATTCTGACTTGATACCTATTTAACATTGCATTCCAGTGTAAACACTTACACTCTAATATGTGAAAATGAATAATGAATCCATAGGTCACCATATTCATTAGTGTTGCTATATATATGAATTGTTATGTGGCTTCAATTATAGTATTTTTTAAAATTTTTATTAGGTTTACTTTAAAGACATATCAGGAGTTCATCCTTTTTATTTGATGTTACTAAGTAGTGACATCATCAATATGTTCTTGCTACATTATGCTGTTAGGGAGAGACTATATATATATTGCAAAATGCCAAACCCAGAATCATTGACCGAAACTTAGCAATTTCTTTTCAATGCACTAATTTGAATAATTATTTAGTGTATGTTCTCCCACTGATGAGGACAAAACAGTAGGAATATAACTTCCAGTATCATCAGGTAACACAAATAATGGAGTAAGTGAGATCAAACAAGATTAGGGAAAAATTCTTGCCTATTTTAAAAACTGCATCTGTAAAAAATCACATATACTCGGTCTTATAAAATAACTGAATATGCCTCTTTATCAAATGCATACAGACTAATTCTGAAACTTACTATTTTATTAGGTACTTCTAGAATGTAGAGCGTTTTATGAGACATGTTCCCTAAAACAATATAGATAAGGCCAATATTAGTATCTGCAATTTGCAAATGCATAAACTGCATAAACTGGATAATGCAAATGCATAAATGCATAAACTGGAAACTAAATTATGTTGTCCAGGTCACAGAGAGAGTTAGCACAACACTGAGAGTGGAAACATGTGTTATTGGTGTTTGTCTCTTAGAGACTATGTATTCATGATTGAGGACAATAAAATATATATAATGCTTTATTTGTAATAGCAAAATTATACTGTTTTATTCTAAAAATGTATTTTAAGGTATTCATCTTATCTTCGTTTGCTAATCAAGTAGATTCTCGTCTTATTTAGGTAGCTCGCATACACTACTGAACCTCGTCAAAACAGATTATTTTAGTCCCAACTAATGAATCTAAAAATTGATACAACTAGCTCCTCGTTACAGTATGTAAAAGCTACCAGTTTATTGTCTGTACTTTATTTTTTTTTATAAATATATTCTTTTTGTCTTGGGGGTATATTTTATTCTTTATTTTTTAAAGTAATCTCTACACCCAACTTGGGGCTCAAACTCATGACCCTGAGATCAAGAGTTGCATACTCTACTGATGGAACCACAATTTCATGTGGTACCTCATCCAGTATAAAATACCTAGATTTCATAATATGTAATTAGCCTGGATTTATCACTTTAACTCCTCAATGAAAGGGTTTATTTTAAAATCAGACCTCCCAGAGAACTTACGAGTAAAGTCATAAGTTCAAGATTATATATGTGTGTGTGTATGTATATAGTGTGTGATATATATGGTAATTAGTTACCTACTTTATGTGTTATGTATCTTACGTATATATCACATATATGATCAGACATATATATGTATGCAGATACATATACATAAACAAGATTTGCATGTAACTACATACTTATAAATATATATACTTACACACCTATATACAAATTTCTATACATATTTGTGGTCATTGAAGACCTGTGTAAATAGATAAGCTCACTTTGTGTATAAATTAATGTACGTTATTGGTTCTCAAACTTTAATGTGGATCAAAATCACCTGGAAGATTTGTTAAAATACAGATTGCTGGGCCTTGTCCACAGAGTTTCTGATTCCGCAAATTTGTGATGGTTGGCATGGGGCCCAAAATTTCCATTTCTAACAAATTCCAGGTGATGCCATTGCCAATATTCCGGGAACCACATTTCAAGATTGACTAATGTAGATAATGATATTAACTACCATTTGTAATTTCTAGGTACCAGGGACTTTTCTAAGTGAATTATTTCATTGTTTAGCCACAAAATTTCCAGTTAGATAATAATAGTTATAATAGAAAAAATGTGAAGACAATTATGTATTAAAACAAGACGCTTTCCTAAATTTTATATGGAAACTCAGTGCATTCACCAACAGATTATTTAGGCTTCAAGATGAGCCTCATTGCATGTGTAATTACCGGAGCAATGAGTAACAGTAGAAACTGAAGCTTGGACTTCTCTCATAAGTCTACTAACTACAGCTCAGAAATCGATGGATTTACAATATTTCCACTTTTTATTCAGTTTTGTGATTTTTAGTCATACCTTTACATTCCACCCTTTTCAGGCAAATGCATCCAGAATTGTAAGAACAAATGCCTAGGGAAATATGGGTCTCGCTTTTCCATTGATACATTTCTTATGTGAATAGATTAAATTCTTGACCCTTTCTGTATCATCTTTCAGAAGCTACTGTTTTAAATCTTAAGTTCTCTGCCATTAGCCTCAGTGCTGTGTTCATGAATTTGTTACTCTCAAATTTATTTGTAAATCTTTAAATTAAATCAATTCCTTTTGTTCCGTTTATCACTAGAGTAAGACACTTGGTATAAAAGAACCTAATGTGCCGGGTATGTAGAAAGCATTGTAGACTCTTGGGGAACTTCCATGTTCTGCTTAGAAAGTTCTTCCAGAACTTCGGCAGGCAGACACCATGAGGGCTTTCACTTTGCAACAGTGTCAGCATGTCACCATGGCAGAGCAGCCCTGGTGCGCCCTTGTCTGGGTTCCCCCCTGCACACACCTCAGCGTAGAAGGGAAGCATTGTGATTGGCCACTGATATCCTGCACTTCTGAGACTCTTTTGAACAACTTGGAGGGTTAGTTCCAGTTACAATGATTTTGAAAGTGCTAGAATAATAGTGCACCCAAGTGGTCACAAATATAGTCATTTGATGTCTTTTGACATTAACCCAAAACAGAATTTAAACGTTTCCATAATTTAGACTTACATATTTGAAAATAATTTCTTCGACCTCTGTACTTTTTCAGTTCACATGCAACGCTATTTTTACTTTTTTTTTTTTTAAGTGTATTTATCTATTTTGAGAGAGTGAGTGTGTGTGTGGAAGCACGGGAGGGGAAGAGAGAGAGGGAGAGAGAGAATCCCAAGCAGGCTCCACACGGTCAGTACAGAGCCTGATGCAGGGCTTGAACTCATGTGAACCTGAGTCAAAACCGAGAGTCGTATGATTAACCGGCCGAGCTCCCCATGCACCCCGTATTTTCATTTTGATAGAGAAAAATAGTTGATAAGAAAGGCATTCAAAGTAACCCTTCAAAAGCAACCTACATTTACAGGTTAAATAGTTTTCTGGGTGAAAGGTTATCCTAATGTAAGAAGGGTTATCCTAAGATTCTCTCTTTATGAAATTATTAATTGCTTCTAGCTATTTATTTAATTACAGGATTAGAAACCTTGTATTAAGATTAAATTTGGAAAATCAAGATTATATATGGTGCAGTAAGTAGCATTGTTTTTCCTGGCTATTTTATTTAAAAACTTATTTTAATACTTCTTTTATTTTCTTACTTAAATACTTCTATTTCCCTTTTAAAGAGCTTTTCAAGGCATTGTTACGCCCATTTCCTGCAACAGCACCCATCCCTAGGTGCTGATCTCTGTTGGAATATCCTAGTTCTTCAGCTTTACTTCTTAAGCTTTGTTTTACTTAAATTGGCTTATAATCAGACATTCTTTATATCATAGATTTGAAATTTTAAAGGAAAATAACAGCGATGAAGGTTGCAAATAACTCGGTTGAAAAATGTTGTGCCTTTTCCTTAAGCTTAAATATCAACTCTCTCAATTTTCTCTGACTACAGAGGCCAGTAATAGTAGCCATGAATCTCGTATTGGTCTAGCTGAGGGGTTGGAATCCGAGAAGAAGGCAGTTATACCCCTCGTGATCGTGTCAGCCCTGACTTTTATCTGTCTAGTGGTTCTTGTGGGTATTCTCATCTACTGGAGGTAAGTTGAATGCTTGTTTTAGACATGTATTTCATAAAGCTCAGATTTTGCCTATGTTTGGTTTTTTTTACCTGAGTTCTTCAAAATTCTTTTTCTTTGAGAGCTACCGTTAATTTACCCAGGTAATGATGAATTCTGTGAATTTGTAAATCCAAAGACATAATAATACAAGACTTGATTGTTTTTCATACTCCAACAAAACAATTAAAGGGTAAAATGGAGGAACCTGGCTTCAGTTAATATTTAATACAGTATTTTGACAGTTGTACTTTCATAGTAATCTAATTAACCTTCAAACGTTATCATAGCACCTAACGTAAATCTAAGCTTCTCAGCTTAAATGCTCCAGCTGTTACACTTTCAAAAGTTGTTATTTAGAAAAATATAGTTTTTGATACAGTATAAACATGGCTGTTTATAAATGTGGATTTTGTACAAGATGCATGTCAACTGCATGCTAATAGGAAAAATGGATAGCCGATACACAAGAGTAAAAATCAAGTAATTAAAATATTAATATAATTAGAAAATAAAGTTGACTATATTAAGATGCGTGGGATTTTAAAACTAATTACAGTTTGCCTTGAGGATGAGATATAGCTTTGCTGTCATCAATGTCCTATTAAACCTTTGATTGATTGATTGATTGATTGATTTTAATGTTTATTTCGAGAGAGAGGGAGGGAGAGAGAGAGAGGGAGAGAGAGAATCCCAAGTAGGCTCTGCACCAATGGTACAGACCCCATCCTGACACAGGACCCCATCTCAGGAACGTGAGATCATGACCTGAGCCCTAATCAAGAGTCTGACACCTAACTGACTGAACCACCCAGGCTCCCCAATATCCTATTAAAACTTCTAAAGGACAAAGACAGTTGCACTCACAGAAACTTTCCATCCCATGGCAATCAGAACACACTGCAAATTAGGAAGTTTACTGGAGAAACAATGTAAGTCAGTTTAACTATTATAATTGTGTCTTGGAAAACAAAAACTTTATGATGATATAAGGGATCATAGCATTGTAATGTATTCCTTCATTTTAAAAGGGAAGTTTGTGCAGAAGATCTATAATTAATTCCTTTTTGTTTAGCAGTGTCTCTCTGTAAGTTCATATGATCACTCTTTGTTGTCCTAAAATATATTCTCTTAGTTTACTCAAAAAATATTTGCCATGCTTAAGGACTATTTCTCCTGTGCCTCATACTATGTGGACTACTATGGAAAATATCAAAAACGGATGGATGGATGAATGAATGAGAGTCACTATCCTTGAGAAATCTATGTGTATTGAGAATTTTCCATGAAAAATGTATAACCTACTATACAAAGTAAACACATGACAGCTGAAATCACGAATGCTAGGAGTGGCCTGAGAACAAGGAATCTTGAAAGGCCAGGAGGAGCAGAGTACATGTACCGTGAAGGGCTTGCACTGGCTAGTGTCCAGAAAGTGGAAATAAAGGCAACGGCATCCCAGGCAGGGCCAGAGCAGGCGGAAGGAAGGGGAAGCAGAAGGGCATGTCTGAGACAGTGAGGCCTCAGGCAGGTGAGGTAGTTGTGTGTCGATGGACATGGCTTGACTAAGGTAGAATGTTTTCACGACCAACTGTATTTCATATCTGACAACCTTTACAGAGAAGAAAACAGATCTGGCTTTTGTTATACGTGAGTTGGTAGTCTGTTTTGTCCATAAGGTGATGCGAACAAAGCTGCTCTCTTCACTGATTCCTGTAATTGCCAACGACTCTCTTTCTCTGCAGAGGACTCCATGCTCAGCAGAGCACCGTGAACACAGTACATAATTTATACATGTTTGCTCAACAAGAATTCATAGTGCTTTTCCCTCTACTCCCCACCCGGTTTGTTGGCCAAACTTTTTATCAACCTTGATGTGCTTGTTCAGATTACGGGCTTATATTTAATCTGATTTTCCCTGGCAAACCAATTTTTGAAGTTAATTGGAATTAGAATTAAAACTGTTTTAAGTAAAATGGAAAATAAGCCCAAATTTTACTTCATAGTAAACAGTGTTAGAATAAATTTCCAATAAAAATGTCAGATGGTTTACAGTTATAAGATTGAAATGAGAATGAGAGTTTTAATCTGTTACTTAGTATTTCAAGTTTATTTTTTGCAGATTTGAAAGGGTCTTAGTTACTGTTTTGATATTTCATAGAAAATTAAAATCTGGAATGGTTTTTATTTTCTGTTAGTAATGGATTATCTCATCTGTATTTTGTGGAGAAAAAAGATAAAATTACTAGTTGAAAAATATTAATTTGACCTTCACCAGCAAGATACTTCTCTTTTCCTCACAAATAACACTTTAAGTACCTTGACTACAGAGTGCATTAGCTTAAAAAATGAGCACTCTGCTGATTTTATGTGTGTATTTTATATCTGTCAAATGTTCTGATAAAATCTGTCACTCTTTTACTTAACCCATTTCAAAACTTAATACCTCTTTCCTTCTCACATCCATTTGAGATTAATTCACTTCAAAATGTAACTTTGTAGATCAGGAATACACTTAGGGGTATTAGTTGCTGGAACACAAAATGACAGTGATAGTGCCTTCTTCAGGGTTTTTGTGAGTATATTCAAATTTTAATGTAGACCCATTTGTAAACAATATGATTTCACTTACCAGTATGGAAACATTTTAGACCTTTGTGGAAAGCACGGGCCTGTGGAATGGGTTGAAATAGAATGGCATACTAACAAAAGACCTCACCGTAACAGGGTCGTTATGAGTTTTTCTAAGCTGGTATATTTAAATGTTTTCTAACCTAATTTCTTAGGATAAAAAATTATTGTAAAGTGGTGTAATAAGTCTTTTTTTTGGTCTCTTTACCCAATTCAAAGTGGTCTCCGAGGTTTTATGTAAACCTTGAGAGAAAGCATGCTGTAGAAAGAAGACAGAACAAATTAGAGATGATAAAATCTGGGTCCCTTCCCCATTTATGCCTGGCATTTGTTACGTGGTCTTGGGCATGTCACTTATCCACCCAGGAACTGGTTTTCTTCTCTCTGCCATTTTGGGGAAGGTTTCACTAGATCATCTTAAAGATTGCAGTTAGACCTTCTTTAGTGTTTCTGCGATGAATGCAGCATAGTGAATAAATATGGGTTTATATTTGTATAAGGATCCAAAAAATGGAATTATAATTATACATTTCTAGGTTTTAATTCCAAATACTGCGATGAAAAGGTGTAAATCAAATAATCAGGTTAACATTGATTGATAGGACCTATGTCTACAAGTTTAAAACAGTCATCACTTTTTTCATTATGGCTGAGTGATAATTAGCAAGAGACATAGTTATCAACACTTAGCACATAGACGTGAAGACATTCACTGCTTATACAGAACAGATGGACTATAGATATTGAATCTTGTCATACATTAAATAATATGCCCTGAAATTATTTTCCAGATGTTTTAAGGTAGAATTTACATGAGCCAAATCGTAAGTTTCTAAGATGCAAAATGACTTCAATAAGGAAGATGTTCAAAAAGTTCTTTTTAAAGATGACAACGGGCAAATTTTTGAGAGCTTTTCTAAGAGTTGGAATCTAAAAAATACCAAAGGCGTAATCAATGAAACAGCACTCCATCAAAAATAGTATAGAAAAGAACTTTCCATAGACAGTTATTTTGGCTTTGGGGAAAGGGAGGAAGAGGAATATGAATTCTCTCCTGCTCTTAAATTTGTGAGTCACTCAGGGTAGCCACCCACCCAGAATGGAGGCTCCCAGGACCATGCTGCCTCTTAAGTTGAATGACACATCCTAGGCAAAACTGAACTACAAAATAGACCAAATATTCATATGACCTTCTTCCAGACTTTATCCTACACTATTTTAGTTTTGATTTTTCCCACTTACAGGTTTTTTGGTATGATTTTATAACGTTCTTTTGTCATGCAGGTGACACTAGTGGACCACTTATTTGCTTAAACCAACAAATATTTGTTTACACAGCTAAAAAGAGTAGAGTTGTTATTTACCCAGATCCTACAATGAATATTTAACATGTTAAACCCGAATACCAATAAGTTTTAACTTACCTTTTTCTATTCTGTGAGGTGCTGCCTTCTTCTCATTTTCTCAGAGCCATCCTCTATCTACCCATCCATCCATCCATCCATCCATCCATCCACCTGCCTCCAGCTATATATATTTCACTTCTCCTTCCCAAATATTTTGGGATTTTAAGTTATCCCATTTGAAGCACAGGTAAGCAAGAAGTCTAGGATGCAGCTGAGTAACTTATGGTTGGTGGGATTTACTTGCTACTTACTGGAAATCCATCTAATCATTCAACATTTAACACCTATTGTATGCTTGGCACTGTATTCAGAGTTGGGCTTACGTAAATCAAAAGACATGACCCCATCTTTTAAACAATGTAATGAGATATAGGCACAAAACAGATATATTGCAAAATAATTACCCTAACTAACAATCAATAAAAAATATATATATTTAAAATCATGTAGCACAGAGTTCAGGAAGTGAAGGCCATCCTTGGATTAATTAACCATATTTTTCAAAAGAGTCTTTGTTAAGGTGAGGGTGAATGAAAGTTGGTGTTGGGTGCCGTGAAAACAGAGAAACTGGAACGCTAGAGGCTGCTTAGGAATGAGAGGCTTTTTTGTTTTAAGCTGATTCATTTATTTTTGAGAGAGAGAGAGAGCACAGGGGAGGGGCAGAGAGAGACTTCCAAGCCATCTCTGTCAGCGTAGAGTGCAACACAGGACTCAGTCTCACGAACTGTGAGATCATGACCTGGGCGGAAATTAAGAGTCATACACTTAAACAACTGAACTACCCACGCACCCAAGAAATGAAAGGCTTTTCACAGAGAAGATACCACTGAGCTGCCTTTATGGAAGGTCGTATTCGTGAGTGAAGCACTTTGGTCAGGAGAACCGTGTTTGAAACAGGGAGGGGAAATAGTGAGGACAGGACATGGCATGTTTAGTGATCTACAGCTTGTTTGCATTAGTGGAGTAGAAACTTCAAGAAGAAAGTCAGAAGGGGTGAAGGCCATAGATAGGTAGCGTTTACGTACTGAAAAATCTCAGGTACCATTCGCTAAAAGCCTGCCAGGTACAGAAATAGAGCCAAGAGGTCAAAGTAACAGAGAGATAGATTTTTGGCTCGATACCAAAAAAATGACAGCAAGAGGCATAACAGAGTGGGAAGGCCTCCTCTTTGGGTACCATTTAGAGGTACTTAGAATGAGTTTTCAGTTAGAACGAGAAAGCAATATCTGGCAACCAAAGATGACTCGTCAAGGAGTGAGGTCCTTGTCACCGGAGATCTTATGACAGAGATGCTGTCCCATATGCTGTGATACTGCACCAGGTCCCTTAAGACATTTTACAACTTTAGGGGTGCCTGGGTGGCTCAGTCAGTTAAGCGTCCGACTTCGGCTCAGGTCAGATCTCACAGATCGTGGGTTCAAGCCCCGCATCAGGCTCTATGCTGACTGTTTCAGATTCTGTGTCTCCCTCTCTCTCTGTCCCTCCCCCACTCACGCTCTGTCTCTCTCTGTCTCAAAATAAATAAACTATTAAAAAAAGTTTTAAAAAGACATTTTACAACTTTAAAATTCATTGAAAAATAAATAGAAACCCTTTTCTCAGCTTGTGTGACCCCATTTTAGAGGAATCAAAGAGATTTAACTGTGATTTAAAAGTAGTAGCAAACCCAGTTTTTCATATCAATGTGTCCAAACACGCTACTCAACTTCCCTGCTAGCTTCTACTCCAGTGAGCGTCAGGTGCGCTCAAATGCAGACGGTCAGTGGGATAGTTTATCATGAGACTTGCGGCCCGCATCCCTCCCGTTGTTCATAGTTTGCTGTACCCTTTCCCCTTTACAGGACGTGAACCTGGCTCGGGTCCCCTTGACATTTGATTCTACATCCACTCATCTTCCTCCTGTTCTCTCTAGAAGACATTGTTGGTGTTCCCTTCATCATGTCCTCTTGTCAAAGGCTTATACGATCACAGCAGGGGGCTAGTCCTTAGTGTGCACATTGTTGCTTTTGGGTTGCTTTGTTGCTTTTTGTCTGTTTTTGGTTTTTTGGGGTTTTTTGCTTGTGACATTAAGATTATAAATAAACTACATGATTTTATACTGCTGATAGCAGTGAATTCATTGAACAAATATTTTGGGTCGCGGGAAACTTTAAGATTCGGGGGACCTACCGCTATTCTTTGCACTGAGGCCTAATACTGCATTATGTCAGACCTTGCCTTTGCAGGGCTCACATTCTGTTGAGGGACACCAACCAAAAACATGTAAGACAAATACCTAAGTAAAGAATTTCGGAAAGTTACTAAGTGCCATAAAGCTGAAAAAAGGGCAAAGAATAGTGACTTGGTGGGATGAGCTGGTACTTTTAGTTAACATGGTCAGGGAAGGAGCATTACAGGAAGTACAAAAACAATGGGAAGGAGGCGGGTGGCCAGAAGAAACATCAAAAGCCAGGGCCCCAAGGTGATACTGATGGGGCCTCTTGGAAGGAGGAATAGAGGGCCAGGTGGCCCTGAGCCTAGTAGTGGGGGATGTAGGAGAGGACACCCCAGAGGCAGGTGGGGGACCAGGTCATAGAGAGTCTTGTAGCCCTTGCTGAGATAATTGAATATCATTCTAATTCCACTGGGGAAGCCACTGAAGAACTGATTATTGAAGGAATGTTGAGGTGTGTCCTATAAGAACAAATGTTATGTTAAAGCTCATTAGAGTAAGTATCTTGTAGCTTGAATCTTAAATGGAAAGTGAGATTGGCATCTTTACTCACACAGATATTTCTATTTAAAGTTAACCACTCATGAATAACATTTCATATAAATTAAATGACCCACATCAAAGAGTGTCATTAGCAGTTTTAATTATCTAAATTTTTTTAATTAAGTATGGTTTGCATTAGTTTAAAGCAGCAGTTGGTTCTTTGCTCTTCTCAATAGTTTGTGGTGTGCTCTTACCAGATGTTACTCTTATTATCTGAATGAAAATAGATTCAGGTGACATTGTAGGTCATAGTTGTCGTTGATTCCAAATATATTCATTCTCAAAACCCTCATCAGCAAGGCTAGCATCTGTTGGAAAGAAAATCACGCCTGTTTTTGGTTATATGCTCATTATTTCCTCACTTCGTTCTGTCATTACTACATTATCATGCTCTCAGTATAAAGCTGCCTTCCTTGTCCATCAAAATATCACCACTGTCGAATTTCACTTACACAGTCATAGCTACCTTTTGCTAGCAGCCGAACTGCTTAGAAAGGTATGGTCACTTACTTAAGGAGTGAAAACAGCTCTGGACCTGGTTTCCCTTCCACTCTGGTCCAGTCCAAGGTGGCAGGCCACACTGGCATATGGCAGCGATGGTAGAGTAACCAGGGCATCGAGGTGTCCTTATCTCAGCAAAATACTGTTCGCTGCCAGCTACAACTTCCAAAGCCATCTCTGTTTTCAGCGTGTCAATATCTACTCACTCGTATGCATCCGGCACATGTAAAATTGAGATAAACTTGGAGGCCATACAATTCTTTAATGCTTTGTGTTTTGTAAAGTACAGATTCCCATTTATGTTTTAATTCTGGAGATTTCTGTCATAATTTTCAAGCAATTTTCAGCTCAGAAGTTGTCTTATGGCAGCTAGTACATAAATTGCTTTCTTTTCTTTCCAGGAAATGCTTTCAGACTGCACACTTTTATTTAGAGGACAGCACATCCCCTCGAGTAATATCCACACCTCCAACACCTATCTTTCCAATTTCAGGTAATAGCTTAAGGTGTGACCGTGAGTAGCTGGTAGATGTTGAATGGCAAATACGTGCTGGAAGGTTTGTCCCTATCAGAGTACTTTGCAAATGGCTCTAACGTAGATGAGTAAATCCTTGAGTTGCCCAGAATATTTACTACAGCCGTGTGTCAGGCACCAAAGTTTCTACGTTGTTCTCATTAATTTTGGACATTCTTAGCCAGATAGATGAAATAGCAAAATAACGCAAGGCTATTCAGATATAATATGTTAACATGAACATCGCGGTAAAAGATTGTTTAAGAATAAGGCTGACCTTCAGTCATTTCTGTTACTTTAATGGAAACCTGAACAATGAAAGTCAGGCTAAACCAATGTAGTAAGGGTGGCTAGGAGAAAATAACAAAAGTAAGGATAAAGTTTCGTTTCCTTCTGATCATCTGAATTTTTGTGAGAAAAGCTCCCTTAACTATGTTAGAAAAAAAAAAACTATAAAATGGTGGAGTAGAAGGAAAACATGAGCGCACAAAGAAATGTGTAATTGCCAGAAATATTTAAAACCACAATGTCAAACAGTTTGAATACCTGGGGAGATATCGACTGGTTTTTTTTATCAGAACTTACCTGATTAACATTAGTCAAGAATTAGCCAGGGTCGTTTTGACTGAGACATCCATTGATCCGGGAGTTCACACTATAAGATCACAGACACTTACTTAATTAACATTTCATAGCATCTCAGAATGAAAAGCCGTAACAATAAAGGAATTGCCTAGAAATAAGTGAACTATGGAAGAAGCCTCTGAAGGGTAGAGGAAGAAAACAAAGACAAAGAGAACCACCAAACCAGGGAAAATGGAAAAAAAATTGTCAATGTGGCTATTGTACAGAGGCCTGTTTTTAAATCGTCTGATACTCTTTAGGTTATTGTCAGAGGCCCAAGTGCGACAAGATGTTATTTTCTGAAATCTCATGACTTAAAAAACAAAAAAAAAACAAAACAAAGAGGAGCATTTTCTCTGTAATTCTCAGCGGGCAAAGGAATTAGGAGTGTTTGGCTCTTTTCCGTCTTTTGTCCACTCTGAGTCTTTAGCCACCACTGTCTTATTTCTGTTTTTTCTGTTAAAATTCTGCACGGCTATTTGAGTACAGCGCCGTTTCTCAACAGCATAGTAAGTGTTGTGAGACTGACAGCTCTCAGTTGTCTGTTGCGTTTTGATTCACTTCACCTTCAAACATACGTCTTCCATAGACTGCACATTAACATGATAGTCTCCAAATTATCTAAAGTCCAATATAATCTATTATTAGTAGCAGATAATCCCAAATCAATTCCTTGTCCAGGAAATGCAGAATCTCCTGCATCTCAGAAGAGTTGTGATCAAGGGCATTTCCCCACTTCACCTTTGCTCCAGATCACCCAAATATGCACCTTTTCATGTCAGATTAGAAATTTGAAAGATAGGTTGGTCTCACTGACTTGCAGACCAGTCCATGAAAGAAAGAACCAAAACACACAACTGTAAATAAAAAGTAGTCAGTCTGTGAAAAGAGGTTAGGTGTGCAGGATAATATCTATGGGTTTGAAGGACCTTTATGAGAAAAACTGATGATTTCGATGTGACAAGCTATTTCTATTTTCTTGTCTGATTATAAAAGCTACTGCCAGGCAAGATCCTTCCATAGATGTGAAGGCAGAATTGCACCTTTGTCTAATGTTTCTTAAGCTCAACGGGCTAATTCAGTTTTAGTATTCAGGTACACTCACCGAATAGAGAGAACAGATGGATTCTACTTTTTTAAAAAATCAACAAATTCTTGGTAACTGAAGCTTAAAAATATTAAAGGGCTTAGATGCTGAACATCTGTTGATGTAAATAAGTGTTTCTAGAGAAATGTGTTTGATGTTTCCTTGTCAGAGAAATCAGTTGTGAAATCGCATACTGTGAACTAGTGATATGTTTAATCTAAGAAAGTCTTTCCAGAGGGGGGAAAGAGAAAAAAGAGAACCAGTTAAAATAATTTGGCCCCTTCACAATTAATTAACAGATCCAATGACACTGTTTACATAGCATATTTTCAAGTAAGAGTTCTTGAAATTTTACATATTAAAAGTCCCAAAGGTTTTTGACATTATCCTTAATGAATAATCTGCATGTCAATGTTTTCTATTATTTATAGAGTAAAAGAAAAAATGTTTTCGAATTTAAACATCTGACTATTTAACTGTAAAGCATTAAACTATGTTAAGCTGAAATTACACTGTATGTTATGTTTAGTTCATGGTAAAATTGAAAATATATTATTTCTGAATTTTTTTTACCCAGAATTCATATTCATGTTAAATGTATTAAGTGTAAATGCAACATCTACTCATGTTAAAGAAAGTTATCCATAAAAAGATGCAGTCCATTGATAAGATATGAGGCTTTAGTGTGAGGTATTTATTATTTAACATTAAAAAAATTCTTGTTTCTTTAGAGTATGAAAGGAAAAGAGATTCATGATCAATCAGAATTATATAATGCCAGTTATTGTTAGTAAATACAGAGAAAATTGGTAACCATTGCTAAATATTTCATTAGATGCTGAGGTTCACTCAGGATTATAGGAGTACCTGAACTTTGAAGTTGCTTTAGAAGAAGGCGTTTTATAAATCTTTGTAAATGTGAGGCATATTCCTTTCTGTTGCGTTATCCTCTCCAAATGAATTTTTTTTTATTTACTTAGATGATGTTGGAGCAATTCCAATAAAGCACTTTCCAAAGCATGTTGCAGACTTACATGCAAGTAGTGGGTTCACTGAAGAATTTGAGGTATGATTTGAATAAACTTATTTTAAATAATACAAAAATATTGAATTTAATAGCAGTAGGCTATTTCTTGACCTAAAAACATTGAAACTATTTTCAGTTCTACAAAGAATATTAGTTATGTAATCATTTATGTTTTTAGGAGACGTGTTATGATTACCATATAATTTAGAAAATTGGTTTTCCATTTTAAAAATCAAATTGTTCTAGTAGAAAAAAGCATTATTAATTTTCTTCCATAAGGTACAGAATTCTAGTATCTTTCTTTAAATCTGAATTAGTAACATTGATTCTTTTTTATTTTCTAAATTATATAAATTATACTAAACTACTAAATTTCATGGTTTTCAACCAAAGTACATATAAACTCTTAGTTTTACACCGTTGTAAGTGCAGAAGCATTTAATTTACAAGGTATAATACAAGCAATAAATGTTATACAAGGTAAGGTCCTTCCCATCTTCTTCCCAAGAAAATACACATTTCTAAAAAACATTTGAACTGCACAATCAGTAAAAAGCTTTCTAGTAATACTCCATAAAATATTCATATATAGAAGAGGCAGAGAAATACGCTGCAAATTTACTATGGCACACTGAACTATCAGTTAAGCAGATTTTTCAAAATAGGTACTGTAAACCCAGAGCTAACAATGACAACCATAAAAAAATAAAAGTTACCATTATGCAGTACTCCTTAATAATACCGGTCATTGTACTAAATGCTTTTACATTCAATCTTCACCCAACTCTAGAACTTACTTGTTTTTATTTCTGTTCATACTACTGATGAAATCAACTTCCTCAGAAGTTAATTAACAACTCATAACTAGCGGAGCTAGACCACTTGCCGTAATGAGTACTGAGTAATGTGTAGAGTTGTCAAATCATTGTATTATTATGCACCTGAAAATAATATAGTGCTACATTTATAATATAAATAATATATTATATATTATAAATAATTTATAAATATTATATATAATTTATATATAATATATACTATATATATTATAAATATATTATAAATAATACATTTATAATATAGCGCTTCAGTTTAAATAATTTTTTAAAATAGCAGTGCTAGGATTCAAACCCAGCTCTGTGATTTTAAAACGTATATACATACTTTAAAAATTTTTTTTAAGTTTATTTGTTTTGAGAGAGAGAGGAAGGGACAGAGAGAGTATCCCAGAAAGGCTCCACATTAACTGCACAGACCCCAACTTGGGGCTTGAACCCACAAACTGTGAGATCATGACCTGAGCCAAAATCGAGTCGGATTCTTAACAGATGGAACCTCCCAGGTGCCCGCATATATACCTACGTTTTCCATTCCAAAAAGCAAGGATCTTCAGCCTTCCCTCTGGCCCCTCCCTTCTAGGAAACATCACATTGCTTTTTGGTCTCCCTCTCAACCCAGAGTGCTCTATGGCCCTCCCTCTCTGAAGCAATTTGACCTCTGATCCTGATGAGAAAGTGTCTACTCTCCCCATTGTACCCAACAACTGCTTCCCGGGAGTCACATCAACTAAGATATATGTAGGGAAGGAAATGCCATAGGTTGGAAAGCTTTAAGAAATCAAAGGAAATAGAAGTGATATGTGCTATATTTTCACTAAATTAAAATGATAGAAGCCAATTCATTTAATTTTAAAAGAAATTTAAGTCATAGCTATACTGAAATAGAAAGCGGTATGAGGTAAGGACTAAGTAAAGTGGAATAATATAAAGAATGACATGTTTAAAATATCAAATTATTTTTTCTTACCTTATTAGAGGTTAGAGGGTGGCTGGTGCCATGTTAACTCACAGACGCTATCGGGCTCACAAACAAAATCGTAATTACAAGAGGGAGACGATGTCAAGGATCTAATTTTCCAAATGTTAAAAACCACAAGGAAAAATAGACAATTTACAATAAAAGTTGCTGCTAGCATATGCACAGAGGCAGACTCATAGTTTTTACAACCGTAAAATAATTTTCAATGTTATGAAGCGGCTCATAATTAAATTAATAAAATAACCTCACATTTTTACTCAAAAGTGTATTCTTAATTCCATTGTTTTTAACTCACACTCTAGTTCAAGAAAACGTTTCATTAACTTGATAATTAGTTTAATAACTAATAATACTATGCCTTTTCATATGTTCAGAACATTAAATTGTTTGTAAATCTAGAGTCAGATGGCTTGCTGCGGAAGAGGCCGTACAAGCTTATCTGAAGAGAGGCTGGGCCACTTACTGATGAGTCAGTTTCATATTTGGATTACATACTCTCTCAAAAATTATACAGGCTTCATCTTATATCTTATTACTAAATAATTATAAATCCCTACCTAACCTATTTAGATAGAAGACATCTCTGAAAAGGATTTTAATTCATTTTAAAAGATAATTGGCAGGAATAATTTTTCTGTACCCGTGGAAGTTTAAATTAAAAAGTCTACTAATTAAATGTGTAGAAAGTAATGCTATCTAAATTTTGTTTCAAAATGATGTAGTATTTGTGATAAAAAATGTTTAGAAGAATTCATAATGTTCTGACAACTGTAAATCTGTTACAAACCACTTAATAAGAAGCTATTTACTCTAAAATTACCCTAAATAAATTTTTTAAAAAGTGTCACTAATTCAGGGTTTCAAATAGTGCTATAGTGGTCAAATAAAGTGTTATTTGGATATTAGCAAATCTAACTAATACAACAAAATGTGCTATCAAATATATGGTTTTTCTCATCTGCATTTTTTATATTCATCATATTATTATGCCACCGTCCCCTTTTAAAAGTGTTATTTTTTTTCCTTTTACATAATTTTAAGGTTCCAAACTGTTAGAAGTTTCTATTTGCATGTAACTGTTTGAAACATTCTGTTTTGTTGCTATTTGACAAATGTATTTATTGCATGATCATAGTTTTCCATTGTAAACCTAATATGAACGCTTTTTTTTCTCATTTGTCGTGTGCTGTGGAATTTGATTTCTTTACTTTTTTGGCATTCATTCCCTCATTAGACACTGAAAGAGTTTTACCAGGTAAGGCATTATTTCACTGCATTTTCTTTTAGCCAAGAAATAGTTATAACATGTAAAAAAAAATTGGGGGGGATAGACTAATTTGTCTTCTACGTTGTATTTTGAAGGCACTTTGTTGGAAAGGATAGGTGTTAAAATGCTACACCTAAATTTCTTTACAGGAGGTGCAGGGCTGTACTGCGGACTTAGGTATCACAGCAGACAGCTCCAATCACCCAGACAACAAGCACAAGAACCGATACATAAATATCGTTGCCTGTAAGTATCTCCCCAACGCAGCCTGACGTGTTCACGGTCACTGCCGTGCTTCTCGGCGCTGTCCGGCCATCTGCAGCAGAGCTGTTTCTGGGCTTGGTATCAGGGACTAAGACTTCTGTTAGATAGTGCAAAATACATTCTGCAGTTAGTGATAGGTTTCTGTTTTCTTTAAGTTTATTTTTTACTTACTTCAAGAAACAGAGATAGAGAGCAAGGAGGGGAAGGACAGAGAGGGAGACAGAACCCCAAGCAGGCTGTGCACCGGCAGCACAGAGCCCAAAGTGGGGCTCCAACTCGGGAACTGTGAGATCATGACCTGAGCCAAAGTCAAGAGTCAAAGGCTTAACCGACTGAGCCACCACCCATGCATCCCAATGATATGTTTCTTTTAAACAAAACAAACTGAAATTTTAATCCAGGCCTTTTTTCAGACATGATGGGCTGTAAATCTGTTCTTATGGTGTCTGCCATTATGTATATTCCCTGTTCCCATTTTCCTTGAGGTCTGTTTACTTCTATGTGAATTTACTAATCAAATGAGATTTCCTTTAGACTTTATTTTTCTTTCTACCCTTTTCCTCTCTTTCTTGTCATCTTCCCAGGGTCTTATAAAGGGCTAGTTGGATTATTTTTTAAATATTTTATTTATTTCTGAGAGAGAGAGAGTGAGAGAGAGAAAGCGCGCGCGCGCGCGCACACACACACACACACACACACACAAACACGCGCGCGCGCACGCACATGTGGGGGAGGGGCAGAGAGAGGGAGACACAGAATCCGAAGCAGGCTCCAGGGTCCTAGTTGTCAGCACAGAGTCCACTGTGGGGCTCGAAGTCACGAACCATGGGATCATGACCTGACTCAAATTTGGACGTTTTAACCAACTGAGCCACCCAGGTGCCCTTAGTTAGATTATTTTTTATTCCATCTTTCCCTTTATTTTCTTGCCTATTCTTTCTTTTTTCCTCAATGACAAGCTGTCTCTCTTGTTTAAGGCAAATTTACCTATTTTTCCTATGAAATTACCATCTTCCTCCTATCTTCTTAAAGCACCTCATGTTTACATATGTTCCCTTTTCTTTTCTTTATATTCGCCTCCATCTCTTGAAATCCATCTACATCGCCTCCTCTGAAACTTATACTTATTCTCTTCCTTTTATATTCAGTGGGTCTCCCTGAATCCTGTGAACACAGTATTACCAGCTTGGTTATTTAAATTCCAGTTCCTTTCTAGTTTCTGGAAGCCCGTGAAACTGTACTCCCTTTTTTAAAAAGTTTTTTATATAAATCCAGTTAGTTAACATACAGTGTAATATTAATTTCGGGTGTACAATATAGTGATTCAGCACTTCCATACAACACCTGTTGCTCACACAAGTGTACTCCTTATTGCCCATCACCTATTTCACCCATCCCCCCACTCCCCTCCCCTCTGGTAACCCTCAGTTTGTTCTCTGTAGTTAAGAATCTGTTTCTTGGTTTTTCTCTCTCTCTCTCTTTTACCCCTTTGCTCCTTTGTTGTGTCTCTTACATTCCACATATTAGTGAAATCATATGGTATTTGTCTTTCTCTGACTTATTTCACTTAGCATAATACTTCATCTCTGCCCATGTCATTGCAAATGGCAAGATTTCATTCTTTTTTATGGCTGAGTGATATTCCAGTGTATATCTATACACCATAGCTTCTGTATCCATTCATCAGTCAGTGGACACTTGGGCTGTTTCCACAATTTGACGAAGATAGTGCTGCTATAATCATCAGGGTGCATGTATCCCTTTGAATTAGTGTTTTTGTATTCTTTGGGTAAATACCTAATAATGCAGTTGCTGGATCATAGGGTAGTTCTATTTTTAACTTTTTGAGGAAGCTCCACACTGTTTTCCATAGTGGCTGCACCAGTTTGCATTCCCACCAACAGTACAAAAGGGTTCCTATCTCTCCACACCCTCGCCAACACTTTTTCTTTCTTGTGTTTTTGATTTTAGCCATTCTGACAGGGGTGAGGTGATATCACATGGTAGTTTTGGTTTGCATTTCCCTGATGATGAGTGATGTTAAGCATCTTTTCATGTGTCCGCATGTCTTTGGAAAAATGTCTATTCATGTCTTCTGCCTATTTTTAATTGGATTATTCATTTTTTGGGAGGTTGAGTTGTATCATTTCTTTATAGATTTCAGATTCTAATATTTACTTATCACATTTTCTTAAAATATTTTTTTACATCTATTTATTTTTGACAGACAGAGACAGAGAACAAGCGGGAGAGGGAGGGAGAGAGAAGGAGACACAGAATCCGAAGCAGGCTCCAGGCTCTGAGCTGTCAGCACAGAGTCTCATGTGGGGCCTGAACCCACAAACTGTGAGATCATGACCTGAGCTGAAGTCGGATGCTTAACCGACTGAGCCACCCAGGCGCCCCTAATTATCACATTTTCTTGAATAGTTTGCATAGATGTTGCTTCCTTCCTGCAAGGCTCACACAGATTTTTATTGGAAGGTTTTAGTAGCACTTTCTGCTTCATGTTCGTCCCCCTCAACCGAAGCAACCTTCATGGCTACACATAAAAACTCAGGTGCTTCTTGGAGAGGGTGAAGGTATTAAATGATTCCCTCAACGAGCTGAATGGAAAGCACCTACCAGGTAATTAAGAAGGGGGTGGAGATTAACATTTGTCGTATACGTTCTATGTGCCTGGCTCTGTAAATATATTACTTCATTTAATCCCCAAAATAACCTGACACACAGATACTAACAGTCCTATTGTAGAAATGAAGAAATACAACCCAGAAAATTTGCCCAGTAATACCCCTTTAAAAGTATTAGAACCAAAATAACAACAACAACAAAAATAGTTCAGCCTGGCATCAAGCCCGTCTCTCCATTGCCTTATATCTATTTCCGTATACGCTTCCTGCACTTAGTGAGCTGCTGTTGTCACAGAAGCATTAATATTCCAGGATGTCTCTCTACTTTTTGCTTTTTTATTATGTCACTCCTCCAAATACATAGAATTTCCCTGTGGAGCCCCAGGCAGTCTCAAACTCCTCATTTCAACATATCTTACTTGCCTCGGTAGACCGGGTATACGTTACCATAGTTTTCACCCCCATTTAACAGACAGTGTAGGTAGGATCTGCACTCACTGTTCCCAGACAGCCATTCTCCTGCCTGGCTGCACACTAACGGCCCTCTGAGGCTGTCGCCTTGAAGGAGCTGTTTGCTCTAACCATTCACAGAAACTTCCGAGGTCCCTTCTCCTGCCCTGTCTACTTTCTCTTCCTCCACTGGCGTCCGGTTCAGAGTGCACATGCTGCCTTCCTTCCTAAGCTTCCTTAGCTTTCTAAGACACCCCTGACACTCTTCTCTCCCTGTCACTGTCCACGGCCCCAAGATCCATCTTTGGAAACTATCTAAGATGCCAATGTCACATTCCAACCTTTATAAAAACGGTTCTTATCATCCCAAACCAACACAGTCTCTGCCTTCAAGTTCCCCCTTCATACTTTGCACCACCCTTGACTCCTGAACATTCCTTTCCCTCTGTATTTGTCTGTTCTCATCATCTGCATTAGAAACCTTGTTGAAGGCAGAAGCTCTTGTTATATTTATCTTTGTCACCTCTGTAATCCGTAAAGCCGACTGAAAGGAAATTATATTTGCATTGATTTTAATTGTATTTGATGTATCATTATGTAAACATAAATGACCTTTGTGCTGAAAAGTCATCCATGCTATAGTGAAATATTTTCTTTTTTTTTTTATTACAGATGATCATAGTAGGGTTAAGCTTGCACAACTTGCTGAGAAAGATGGCAAACTGACTGATTACATCAATGCCAATTATGTTGATGTAAGCATGCTTCAATTGGGACGTTTAAGGAAATTATGTTAGACCACGAATTTATTACACCACTCTGCTGTATTTATACTAGTGCTCAATACATGTTGTCTGACAGGTAATAAACAATACAAATCAGCAATAGGACATCCCACGGATAAAGGATTTCAGATTGATAGCATTCAAGCCCCATACTTGCTTTCTCTCGTGGGTGAGAAAGGTAATTCAGGCTGGAAATGCACATTCAAGGTGAATGTATGTATATATATATATATATAAACATATATATGGGTAGGTTTATAACTCCTTAACTGTGAGGGGCAGGCCTAGTGCTTATTTTGAATATCCCACAGTACCTAGCACCATATTGTGTAAGGAGCAGGCGATCAGTAAATCCTGACGGAGAAGTTCCAAAGGCATTCCTGGCTAAAAGGCAGACATGCAATTATTAAGCTGCTAATCAGCCTTATTATCTCTGGCACTTCTCAGGACCCCCAGCTATGTGGGGCTTATTCAATCTCCAGGGACCGCAGACCACTGACTAATTTCCTGGTTTTTCACTGTAGTCAGTTGAATGTTAAAGGAGCTCAGTTATTTTCCTGACGCTGACCTTGCTGTCTAGCTGCCTTCAAGTCTTATGCTGTGTGGAACAGTTAATTCAAAGAAGTGAGTGCCCCCAGATATAGGATGTATCTGTTAGAGGCAGCATTTCATGCTTCCGGAGGACGCAGTGTGTATGGCCCATCCAACGTGGGCTGTGGAGTTAGAACTGGTTTTGAGTCCCAGCCTTGTCCCTGGGTAGCCATGAAATTTTGGAAAGTCACTTAGAGCCACTGAGCCTCTCCTCATCTTCAGATCAAGGATGATGCTTCCATTTTGCGTGCATATTAATGACGCAGGTTAATGTTCATAAACCATCTCGGGTAACAGTGGGTGCACAGTGAAGGATAGCTTTAGTTATCAGCACTGCTTAGTACCACCAAGGAGAGAGTAGGGAGGCAACACCAGAGGTTTCCTAACTCTTGTAGACAGCTGAGCCCCCAGTGCCCCATACGCATTTCAAAGCAGTACACACACAAGTAAAGACCGGTATAGTAAATAGACTTAGATTAAATGTACTTGGAATACAGGTGCAGAGAATCATGTCTGTGTCAGGGCAAAGAGAACTTTCTATTTTTTTAAACAAAGATCACGGTTAAAGAATTATTATCTTTGCGAGTACTATCAAGTTTTCTAGCATTGCAAGATTATTTTTCATGATTCTTCTCTTATGGAAAAAATAGGCTGACCTTAAAAACTTACATATTGCACAGTAAAACAGCATAAAAAGAGTAATTTAGTAAAAAAATGTTTGTCGTTTGTTCAGGGTTACAACAGACCAAAAGCTTATATTGCTGCCCAAGGCCCACTGAAATCCACGGCTGAAGATTTCTGGAGAATGATATGGGAGCATAATGTGGAAGTTATCGTCATGATAACAAACCTCGTGGAGAAAGGAAGGGTATGTAGGTAATCTATTATCTCATCCCCGAAATAGTAATCAGAAGTGCTTTAAGTTGCTTTTAATGGACTCAGCATCAGGAAGCAGGAGAGGTTATGAAGGCCGATCAGGTATCCTTTCTAGTAAATTTGGCGGCTGATGGGGAGTTTAACATTTGTAGATCAGAAAGTTTCACTATAAATCAAGCTGTCTGCTACTTAAATGCATTTTTCATACTTTGAAAAAAAGTAAATGGGGCTCATTGCAAAGCAATGTAGAATGGAATAGATTTTAATTCACGGGAGCTGGATTCTAATCCCAGCTTTGTAGTGACTCAGTTCGTCTGGTCTCTCTTTCTTCATCTGAAAGGGAGAAGTTTGGACCAGATCACCTCAAGTCTCTCAGCCCTGTAATTCTGTCCCTGGTCTCCTCCAGAACTACTCCCCCCCCCCCCC